CGTTGTACTGACATTTTCCCAAAATAAATAGAATCCTTTCATGTTCTCATATAGTGCATACATTATTTTGTTGAGGGGGAGTACACTTAATTTATGCTTATGATCAAAAAGGGGGAGAAACACTTCTAGTGCAGTTACTAATAACCTGTATGTAAGTTAAAATTTTGTGCAGATATTCAATAATGCTTTTAAACAGGGAATTTTTTATCATCATCAAAGAGGGGGAGATTGTTACCAATGACCAACATTGGTATCTTGAAGATAATGATTTTGATGATCTTACAAAGTGAAGAATAAGAAGACTTTTGTTATATGAGTTTAAAAGCATTTCTGTATAAGAGAAGACACCAGGACCGTGCGGTTAAGAATGAACGGTAGAAGGCATGAACAAGACCGAGCGGTTGGAAGGTGAAGTGGTGTTAGAATTGAACCTGGAACCCGAGAAGTGGCATGACTAAGACCGAACGGTCACTATCAGTCAAAGACCGAACGATATGTAATAGTTGAAGGTTGGACGGTGTATAGTCGTTCATAGCCGAACAATGTTCAAGACCGAATGGACACTCAAGACCGAATAGAAATGAACATTGGCAAAACTCAGTTGAATACTGAACGGTCACTAACACTGCCGAACACAAGTTGTGAACCGAATGGCGTCTAACACAAGCCAAACGATATTGTGTCCAACTAACACTATAGAAGAAAATGTTAAGAGTTGGAAAGTTCATAAATATTGAGCTGAGTGGTGGACAGCATGATCGAGACCGAGCAGTTAGCACAGAATGCTGAAAAGCTGTAAGGAGACAAGCCGAACGGCAGGAGGCTGTGACGACTCAAACCGAGCAGCAGAAGGTGAAGAACTCAAGCCGACTGGTTGACGTGTTAAATATCCTAACCGGTCCAAATCTCACATATAATCGATTATTACTTACAATAATCGATTATCACTAGCAGTTGGAATGCGTCTTTTCATTTTCAGACCAATAGACTATAAATCTCTTTGCTAGAACCTTCAAAAGTTAACTTTGCGAATTTGATAATACAGTGTAAGCTGAGGAAGTTCTCAAGTGCTAGTTCTTGCTCTTGTCAAGTCTTGTGAATAAGAGAAGCTTGCGCTTTGTGTGTCAAAGGTCGGAGCGGTTCTCTTCAAGTTGGAAGAGAAGTTGCTTCCGATTCGTTTCTCGAAGGAAGCTCTTCTGGCTCGTTTGTCGAAGGAAGGTTCTTACTACATTCTTTCGTTTCGTTTGTCGAAGGAAGGTGTTTTTGTTATTGTTATTTTTTATTCACTTTCATTGTAATTATGAAACTGTTTTAGTGAAAAAAGTTAATCACTATTCATAATTATTAACGACTAGACGTAGAATCTTTTGACTCGAACCAGGATAAAAATTATTTGTGTGATTTTTCTACACCCTACACTCTTATATTTTCTGCTCATCAACTGTTTGATAAAAAATTTATAACAAAATCAAAGAAACCATTTTTTAAATTGACCGAACAAGCTCTTTGCTTTTAACAATCTGTATCGTACTCTGTTTTAATATTTCCACTGCACAAAATCGGTACCGGTTGTTTCAACACTAAGTGTAACCTTTTACAAAAAGCTGGACATTGAGTCGATAAATTTTACCATTAGAGCTGACTTTAACTGCATACACTCATCTGCAGCCAATCGCCTTTTTTCCTTGGGGAAGGGGCACAAGATCCCAAGTGTTACTTTAGTCAAGAGCATGCATTTCTGCAATCATAGCTTGTCACCATCTAAGATTGAGGATAAAAGAGAAAAATAGGAAGACGACAATCGATGATAGCTAAGAAAATTATAAATTGGATGAGGGTTTCGAGTAGAACGAGTACCTTTTCTCAGAACAATAGGTCATGCTGAATCATTTGCACCAAGAGACGTAGTAGGGGGTGACGAAGGAGAAGAATATGAAATAGGAGATTCACCATTTTCTTGGGGAGGTGGACTATCCATTGGGACCCTGTGTGGGATGATCTCAATATGTGGAGAAACGGGTGCAGAGAATTTTAATTAAGACTTGGATTGACAGAGACAGTGGAGTTATTTAACTCAGCCACTGGAATTGGAAGGACATGCTAGAGGATATGAACATCCTGAATAGATGGAGAGAACTATGGAGTTTGTTCAAAGAATGTTACATTGGCAAACATTTAATACTTCTTAGTTTCAGGAGAGTAACACCGATATCCTTTTTGGAGTCGAGAATAGACTAAGAAGACAAATTTGAGAGCGTGAACGGAGAGTTTGTCTAGTCTTGGAGACAAGTCATGAACAAAACATACACAGCCAAACACTCAGGAATACATGTGAAACAGAATGGAGAAAGGGACTTTATGATCAAGAGAGGAGGAGGACATCCTATTAATAAGATAAAATGCAATTAAGATGGCATCCCCCTAATGATTGGCAGGAATATGGGCACCAATCAAAAGGGTATGAGCAGTTTCAAGCAAGTGTCTATTTTTTTGTTTTGTTAATACCATTTTGTATTGGTGTATGAGGACAAGTAGACTGATGTAATATACCACAGGAACTCAAGATTGTAGAAAAAGAGGATGAGAAATACTCTTTGGGATTATCACTTCTTAATATTTTGATTACTTGACCAAATTGATTCTTGATTTCAGTTAAAAAAGATGTAAAGATGGCTAAAATTTTAGAACGGTTTTTCATAAGATAAACCCAAGTACATTTGAATATTCATCAATAAAGGTAATAAAATATCTAAAACCAAAGGAGGAGATACGGCTAGGTCCTCATATTTCAGAATGGATGATTCAAAAACTAGAATTACATATTGAGATAAACCTTTTAGCAAAGGTAGATCTAACATGTTTTCCTAGTTAACATGACTCACATTTTAAGGTCTAGAGAGTACTAAGTTTAGGACACATCTTTTTTAATTTGAACAAATGAGGATGACCAAGTCAATCATGTAGTACTTTAGGATTAGGAGCGGCCACACAAGACAACCTTGGACAATATCTAAAACAGTATAATCCCTCAGCTTCATATCCTTCTTCAATCTGTCTCCCCAAACTACACTCATGTATAACAAAAGATCTGTGATCAAAGGTTATTGAACAATTTAACATTTTGGCCAACTGACTTGGGGAAATTAAATTAAAAGGAATATTAAGGACAAAAAGGACAGAGTTTAAGATTGAGGGAGGGAGACAAGGAAACATGACCAACTCATTTTGAGCAAGATTTAGATCCATTTGAAGGGATTATGAAATGAGGTTTTTCTCGAAAGGAAATGGATGAGAAAAGGAAGGTATTACCAGAAACGTGATCAGAAGCACCTGAGTCAATTAGCTATGAATTTTGACCTTCCATGGATTGAGAAATGCAGGTTGTTGATGCAGGTTCTTGATATTCATCATCGGTGAAATTAGAAGTAGAAGTTTTAGTCTTCGAAATATTGACGGTTTTGGAAGAGAAATAATGTAAGAAGTAGTAATTCTCTTGAGTGTGACCTATCCTTTTACAGTATATGCATTGAGGACGTCCCCGACCTCCTCGTCTTCCTCCTCTAGTGCCATGTCCTCCTCTTCCTTGTGTGGTAACCATGACAGATGGTTCCACTAGTTCATGTGTTTCTTGAGTTTGAGGTATCGAGACACGCAGAAGGCGAGTGGTCCATGTTTCCATGGAGGGGATCTCATGACTGGTAAAATGTTTATCTCTGATATGATCAAAATTTTGATTGTAGGGACGAAGGATCACACCATGTAATATTTGTCTAGTTTCTTCTTGATATCCTCTAATGAGTCTGTTTCCAAAAACATCCTTAATTATTCGACAGCAGATTGGGTTTTACCCATGGGTTTTCCACATAACTCTAAAACAAATTGATCATTACTACACGAGTGAGGTGTATTCTTACGTGATCAGACTTCGTTTTTTGCAATCTTAGATTGTGGTGGTTCCCTATGTGTGTGGTCAGGAAGAAGAGTGAGGAGCTCTTGGTACTTTGAGAGGTGTTCTCAAAGGGTTCTGCAGTGCAGACGTGTGGTTATTTATGCAAGTGTTATCTTTCTATATTTGATTATTGATTGAGAGAGGTGTTTATATTTGAGAGAGTCTCTATAAAACCTTTGTTGTAAAACTCAAATCATTATATGAAAGATCCTTCAATCTAAAGTTAATTGGAAGGGAAACTAGATGTAAGCATTGAGGCCGAACCAGTATAAATCTTCTATTTGTATTTCTCTCCTTATCTCTTTTATTTTCACTACATACACGTCTTACTTAGATGACAAGAAAGATTAAAGATCATTCTAAGTTTATAAAAAAGATTTAAAAAGCATTTGTTTTTATTGTTCATCAATTCACCCCCTCTTTATTGAAAAACAAGACACTTCATTTCTAATATATATCTGTATACACACACGTAGATGTATGAATATTATCTCTTATAAGGTTAGGAGTCAATCGTTGAGATTTATATATATAATCTCTCTTAACATCTCAACTTCCATTGTTTTTAATTGCATGTTCCTCTTGGTTTTTATATACCTCCACCTCCCACAACTAACAAGATCTCCAGAAAACATATCTCACACTAACAGTGATTCAAAAAGAAATTGCTCTGAATGGTCAGAAGGAAACAGAGGAAAGCTCACATTAGGGAATTATTGTGATAGTTGTGGCTTAACATCATAAATAGTATCCAGGCATTATTCAATACCTGAAGGTTGATAGTTATCCAATACCATAGGGCAGATTTAATTTCTTCTTCTCAATAGAAACTAAGTATGAACTTGATTAAAATTTTGTGCTCGAAGCATAGCTTTACCAAAACCATATTCAGCGTCCATCGAGCTATATGGCTACTCAATACCATGGACTCTTGAAAATTTAAACATGAAATCTTACCGCTATATAGTTATCAAATTCATTGATTTTCAATAAATGGCAGCTTTAGTGCATAATAAAAGACCAACACAAACATTCTAAATAAGCGATGGTGGCCAATACAATGTTAAAATTTTGACAAACTTTTAATTGGGGCTACATTTCACTGCTTTAGAGGTAGCATTTGCATTTTGCAATACAAACAGAAGAAATGTTTCAGGGTCCTCAAATATTCATACAAAGCCTGTTAGGCCTAGACATTGAAAATAAAAATCGCTCTCCCTCGTACTATATGTTAATTAGCCCATGGCATATTTCTGGGTCCAGCTTCTTGCAGTTGACTCATATTTATTCCTGTCTGTCTTGTACATGTGGGCAATTTCAGGGACCAAAGGATCATCAGGATTTGGGTCCGTTAACAGGGAACAAATTGAAAGCAACACCTAAAGATGAACAAAGTAAGCAACGATACCACAATAAATATTTTGAACATGCTTAACCACCTGCATAAGATTAGCTCTAAGACCTGTCACTTGAACTTGATGCAAAACAGAAAATTTAATTTAAACTACAATAGTGACAAGCAACGTTCATATGGATCAGAAGAAGACGTTTAACTTCAAGACACAATTATTATATTCAGGAAGAGACTAGTACTAGTGTTGGGAAATTGAACAAGGATGGTCATGAACCAGTTTGGTCAAGATGATCCTGCTGATATGTTGAACTAAATGACAAGCAGTTAGACCAGGACCTGCCTTGTCGAACCAGTCTGAATCAAGATGATCTAGCTAGTCTAAAATATGCTTCAATTGTCAAACTAAGTATGAGTCCAGGTCCATCTACGGTGTAACCAATCATATATCTCACAATCATTCTCTTTTCTTTTTTAACAAAAGTTACCAATTTGCATTTTATAATTGTTGCCAATGATTTATAAACACAAGCTTGGAGAATTGATGGCATACCCAATAGTCATGGCCTAGAACATTCAAGAAGGATTGAAGTCATCTGTGAAAGAAAAGCCCAGACTCTTATCATCATGGACTATTAGTAAGTTTTTAATAGAATAGGTTTATTTGGGCTTTGTACACGGGCCTAGCATTATAGGATTTTCTTTTGAGCATTGTATAATAGTCAAGTAGTCTAGATTTTATTTTAGGCCTTGTATTTGGGCCCTAAAGAGACACTTGGATTTAGGTAAAAAAAATTGGAGAGCAAACCTTCTAGAAGGTTGTGGCCCTTTGCCAGAATGGTTTCCAAGTTACTCTTTTTTGTGAGACACATGCTCTTGTCATGCGACATGCTCTTAATGAAGAGGATTTCTCCTTAATAGTGGCCATGTGCCATCCTCCTAATGGAGACAAATTTTCCTTGGTCTCCAAGTTACAATATTAGGGTTTTGCTGCTTCTACAATTTAAAACACCTTTAGGGTTATCTAAGGTTATAAATAGAGGAGTCTCCCCATATAAATTCACCTTTGAATTGAGTATTATTATACTACCAAATTTGTGTCATACTACTCAACTTAAGACACCAAGACTAGAACACCCCTTCTAGGTTTCCTCTAGCCACCCTTCCTCTTAATTTGGCCCAACAACTCTTGAGAACACATCAAACCCCACCATAGCCTCTCTCCCTTACTTGAGTCATATAGTTGAAAGGAGGAGGAGTCATCTCATCATATCAAAATTGCCGTATGCGTACCATATTTCAACCACCATCAAGCTTCCACAAATCGTCACCCATTTGGAAGTCTCCCCTTGGCTTGAGTCATGTAGCTTGGAGGAGCCTATCCCATCATTAGGTAATGAGAAAGAAAAAAGAGAGAGAAAAAAGAGATTGAGAGAAGAGAAGAAGAGAAAGTGTTACTAAAGGCACCTACCACTCCCTCAATAATAGTTGAAACCAAGATGATAAAGGAAGTTTTCCAATCACTGAACTTCTCAATTTATCATTAAATCATCTTTCATAATTTCAACCTTTACTTTTCAAAACTTTTCAACCTCATCTCAACTTCCCATTATTTTAAACTCCTCAAATTTTTCAAAATCACACTTTAAGTTAATGTGCTTCCTAGTTTACAATTAACCCAAAGTGGATGAAAACACTCTTGGAAAGTAGGCATTGAAAACTCTCAAGAAATGTCTCTCAAAATTATCGTAAGGCCTCCTTCTAGTCTTTCATTGAGATATATTGTGCCTATGAAACAAAATGTGATTGAAATCTTGTTTGGTGATTATTGTAGATGGATCTTTGATCATGGAGGAATGATACCAAATGGACCAACAATAAGAAAAAGGTTTTGCCATGAAGAAACATGAAGATTTGAAGACAAATTATTTTCAAAACGGAAGGGATGATGGCATACCACCAAGCCATCAAGAACATTCAAGAAGGGTTGAAATCATCTGTGGAAGGAGGGTCCAAACTTTTATCGTCATGGGCCATCAATGAGTTTTTAGAATAGGTTTCTTAGGGCTTTGTATTATGAGTCTAGTAGTATAGGGTTTTCTTTTAGATTTTGTATAATGGGTCAAAGGATCAAATAGTCTATGTTTTCTTTTGGGCCTTGTATAATGGGTGAAATAGTCTAGGTTTCCTTTTGGGATTTGTATTTTTGCCTAGGTATAGGGTTTTGGCAAGAGAAGATCGGCCATATGAAGACACTTGAATCTAGGGTAAAAAATCTTAACTTGGAAAGCAAACCATCTAGAAGCTTGTGGGTCCATGGCTAAAAAATTCTCCAAGTAAGACACATGCTCTTGACATGTGGCATGCTCGAGAAGATTTCTCCCTAATAGTGGTCATATGTCATCCTTTAATGGAGAAGATTTTTCCTTGGTCTCCAAGTTAGTATTAGGGTTATGTTTCTACAATTTAGAAACACCTTTAGGGTTACCTAAGCTTATAAATAGAAGTGTCTCTCTCGTATAAATTCACTTTTGAATTGAGTATTATTATGTTACCAAATTTATGTCATACTACTCAACTTAGGTCACTAGGCTAAAGCATCCCTTCTAGGTTTTCTCTACCTATCGTTCCTCTTGAGTTAGCTCAACCATTCTTGAGAACATATCAGACACCACTATAGTCTCTCTGCCTTGCTTGAGTCATATAGCTAGAAAGAGGAGTCATCATCTCATCACATCAAAACCACCATATGCATACCACATTTCCACCACCATCAAGCTTCTACAAACCACCACCTTGGCTTGAGTGATATAACTTGGAAGAGCTTATCCCATCAATTGGTACTACCAACTTGAGATTGAAAAGAAATAATTCTAGAGGACTTAATTGATCCCTCTCATAATCTTCTATTTATAAAAATAAATTGATACAAGAGTACATGATAATTAGGGTAACTTAGACACAATATAATCATGATAAATAGGGCAACCTAGACACAATGTAATCATGATAAATAGGGTAACCTAGATACAATATAATCATGATAAATAGGGTAACCCTAGACACAATATAATCATGATAAATAGGGTAACCCTGGACATAATATAATCAAGATAAATAGGGTAATCATAACCAGATGACTCTACCAAAACTTGGGAAGTTTCTACTACACTTTAGGAAAATCAACATCGTTCAAACCTTTTGATATTCTAATATAGGATCCATCTTCAACAAATAATGATATAGTGAAGGTCATGCTTTTGATCCTTCCCCAAGGCCACCTTCCCTACTAGATATAGTTCCATCTGAAAATGATTGAGCTATTGCTACTCAAGGGTAGACATTCTACTTGTAACGTTTCTCCCCACTATACAGACCTTGGTTATCATAAGTGTTCCCCTTATATTCTCAGATAGCAAACTTTAAGTTTAATCTCATAAAAATATACAGACCTTGGTTATCATAAGTGTTCCCCTTATATTCTCAGATAGCAAACTTTAAGTTTAATCTCATAAAAACGACTTATAACATGAAGTTTGCACCCACTTATATATTATAATTTGATCATATTTATAGTCAATGTGAAATCTCCAACACACTCAAATCAAGCATGACACTAAATATTTGTAGGTGGTCAATAGTAGCATGAATGCAGGTGATACAGTAAGTCCAACAAATCTTGTTAAGATAGAGTTTCATACCATTCTATAAAAGTGGATTTTAAACCTACTTCAAACTCACAAACTAACTTGTAAAATGGAACTTCCACTTAAATACTACACAATTTAACAATATATCAAGTCAATGTAAAATCCTCAATACTTTTAATAGAGGAATAACAAAACACATTTCAAAACACCTTATAAATGAACAAACCTACCTTGGAAATGGTTAGGGCAGGGCTCCACTGCTCCTTTAATATATCGAGGCAAATGCTTCCATTGCTATTTATGTTTGGGTGGAATACTTTCGTCCTAAATGCAACCTGAAAGATCCATCACCATACATATAAGTAAGCACTAGAGAACAAATGATATGATGTTGATAACAACATTCAGATACGTGCATAAATTTTCAAACACTTAATGGAAATGATACATGCATAAATTTTATACACTTAAGGGAAATGAAAAAAAAAAATAAGGGGAACTACATTCCATTATTATTTAAAAATACTTCGAAATAATTCAAGAAAGTTAAGGTATAAAACATTATATAAAATAGACTCCAAAATGATATACAAACCTTGGGTGGCTTGAAGGGATAATCTGGAGGGAAATGAATAGTCACTAGGAAAACACCTCCCGCATAAGGACTGTCTGGAGGACCCATAATTGTTGCTTGCCAATGAAACATGTCTTCAGCAACAGGACCTAAAATTTGTAATTTTTCTAATTAAAAGTGTATAAACTCCTAAATGATAGTGCAAGGAAATGAAAACGTAAAAATAACAGTACCTAGCAGTTTTATCCAACTATGCCATCCAAAGACTATATATAAAAGTCAACTACAGCAGCTCCAGCTGCCTTTATTGAATAATTTTGCCATAAAACACACAACAGCCAATAGATGCATGATCCAGGAATTAATGCTAACAGGAAATATGGAATAGTGAATGAAATTTAAAATAATCATGAGGTTGGGGAATATGTATCCTATTACAAGAACCTTAAAACATATGAAACACAAAACTACTGTTGGTCCATAAAGAAAATCATTTCAGCTTTCATCACAAACCCCCAATTATTTCTCCTTCCGTATCATCAATCCACAATAAGTTCGCAGCTCATCACTGCAACACGGAACCAACTAAACACTGCTTTAATCTAAAAGCAACAGCAAGATCAATCTCAAACAATATCCGCGGTAACCGATTGAAGCAAATCTCAACTATAAACCAAAGATAAAATTTTCAACTGTAATTTTACAGCATACAAAAACTTTCTACAAAATAAACGGAATCAGTTTCTTCCTGGCCAAACTTAAATCTAAACCGTTAAGGCCAAACAAACACCAAAAAAAATCTTAACGAAAAAGGCAAAACATAAAAAAAATGGGGGAAATATGGACCGGCACTGCAAGAAGTTGGAGGATCCTTCTGCAAATCCTTAAGCTCCTTCAAAATTCGCTTCGACGCCATCGCGAAAACCTAAAACAGATCGAAATAACAAATCCGATCAGATCAAAACCCAAAACACGCGTGCTAAGAACATAGCGTCATACAAATATTTGTATACCTAGAGAAAAAGCAAGAGAGATCCTCCTTCGGATTTGCGACGAAGAACGCGAACGAGAGAGGGAGAGACAGGGAGAGACAAGGAGAGAGAAAGAAAAGGTGCGAGCAAAAATTGGAGAAGGAAACGAGTTTTTATATTACTAAATGAATGCCGGGTGTTTGGAATCGATTCACTTCTATGTGATTGATTTTGATTTGGTTTGGGTTATTCTTCAAATAGTTGAAGATCTCAATTTTGCTTCAATTTTATTTAGTTATAATTACTTATTGGTTTTCATAATGGCTCGTCATTGATGGAATCCTCTGAAGGTTACCCCATAAGTCACCGAGAAATGAGATTAACTCCACCTTAGGAAAATATTTTCACTCTTTTTTCAATATATTTAAATTTGACTTAATATCTCTTTTGGTCCCTCGAAAAAGAAGGAATGTTCAAAGTGGTCTTACATTTTCTAAAAAGTTTGAAGTAGTCCCAACTCGTGAAAAAAAAAAAGTGATGGGTCCAATCCAACCAAGTCCCATGGTACAGTACTGTTAAAAATCCAGAAAAGAGAAGTTTTAGATGTAATCTCTTCTTATTGTATTAGTCAAGCAGTACTAGCAGGCAGGTGTTGTATGCTACCTTTGCGTGGAAATTCATTCTGTGACCCCTTAACAACGTATTGTGTGTTACCTTTGCCCCCCGACCCGACATTCATACCTCTAACATCCATAAAAGACACAACATATCCATGATCAAACAAGGGGTAGCATATCCAACATATCCATGAGTTACGTTTTTCAATTCGATCTTCAAATTTCTCCTTCAACGAGATAAATACTGACCCCAATTTGAAATCCATTTTCATGAGAATGTTTAATCCCAAATTACGATTTCATTCTAACCCTAACCCCTCTTTTTTTAACCTCTCAAATTACACTACCACACAATCTTTTTTTTTGTCCAATTTTTTATTTCACAGCTCATTCACCCTCACAATGCCACGTAATCACTAAAACTAAACCCCTCATTGTGATTTGTTCAGGGGGGACTTGCACCGTTAAAATTTTAACGCTGTAATAAAAAAGGATTAACTTAACCCGATTTTTCACAAGTTGGGACCGATTTGAACTTTTTAAAAAGGTAGGACCATTTTGAACAATCTCCCTCTTTCAAAGGACCAAAAGAGGTATTAAGCCTTTAAATTTACATGAAATTCAGTCAATTATTTCTTTTTTTACTTTTAGAGTTTGCTTTTTAGCCACTCAATCCAAAACATTTGAAGTTCGAGGTACATCGGAACCAAGTTAGAGAGAATCCGAAATACTTGGAAATAATCATTCTAAAATATATTTATGTTAAAAATGCTTGAGACAATAATGAATTTAAATCTCACATTGAATAAAAATGAGATAGGAGAGTATTATATAATAATAAAGACTTATAAACTTATTGTCTTAATATTTTGAATTAAGAGTGGTGTATGTGATTGGACTCAAAGTTTTATTATTGTTGTGTCTCCAAAGTGAACCTCCAAGTAAGTATACCCGTTAAGATGAACGGTGATACAAAAATGGATAGAATAAAATGTAGAAATGTAAAATTTAAACGAAGAACACGAAAAATAAAAACTCAATAAAATTGAATAAAATATTACGGGTTTTACTCCTTATAAAATTTTTAGAACAATAAACCAAACAAAATTTCAAAATAAAGCACATAATGCAAACATTCAAGAATTTTTAGGTTTTTTTTTAAATTTGATACAAAAAATAAGATGAGGATATTCAAATACTAGATGATACAATCTTGTCCAAGAAATGATACGATTGCTTCTGAATTTAAATCCACAAGAGGCACAACAAAAACAAAATCAAAGAAAAAAAGTGAAATAAGACAAGGATGGAGACGCCAAAAATTGATCATATTGCAAAGATTCACCATAAAGATGTTAACATTTGATAATAATCAAAATTATAATTCAAGAACTAAGAGAATCCTTTCTCAATGAATACAAATGCATATAATATGACTCAAAAGTATTTACATCATCTTTTGATACTTCTATACATATACACATAAGTTTAAGGAAAACTAGAAAGCCTAAAATAAAGCCCAAGACAAAAAAATAACAGAAAACGAAAATAATAAACATAGACTTCCGCCTAACGAGGCCCACTTGCCCAACAAACATAAACTAGCCCCCCGGTGAATTTAACATTCTGTAAAATTAAAATAAAGATACAATTTATTTAATTTCCTAAATTATTCTTCAATTGTGCTCATGATCTTCATGTTCTTTAAGTTCTCCCCTTTATTGAACATTATAAGATTCAAGGAGACGTGTTTTGATCTTTGACCTTGTCACAGATTCTTTGAATTGCAAATGTTCTTCCATAAATTCTTCTTATACATGCTCAGGAGATAGCTTTTTATCATACCCTCCTTATTAAAGAGGAATTCTCCTCAAATTCATACCACTTGAAGATTCCTTATCATTCTCTCGTATTTAAATAGAATTTGACTTGAATTGTAGAAGATCATACCAACAAACACAAACATAAACCAAAGACACATATATAAAATAATCAAAAATAGAAATTCTACCACAGTGATATTTAGATCCTAAAAGAGGTCAATCTCTTATTATGAACGTTTTGAGGTTTACCTCCAAGGTCAAATCCCTACCTTGATAAGTGCTTAAGATAAGTAACTTTCATTGTTAAATTAGCACTTATCTTGTTTTGATTGTGTTAAAATCTATGATATCTACTCTAATTTCACTTATTTTGTAGGAACATATGAATCCAAGGAGTTAATCTATGAATTGAGAAAAAAATAAAATAAATTCAACACTTTTTGATGAATTTGTCTTGTTATAGCTGTAGTTCCACCTGAGGGCTTGAGCCATAGAGAAAACTCACTCAAGAAGGTTTCCTAAAGCCATGAATTAAAGCTTAAGCCATGAGAGAGTACTTCATTATTAAGAAATTGCATGCAACTCTAACCCTAAACTTCATAGCTTGAGCCATAGAGGAAACTCACTAAGGGAGGAAACCTCAGTGTTAGAACCATGAACCACTGCTTGGGCCATACTACGAATGTCTATAAATACAAGCACTTCAGACAGATTCAAAGGAGGTGCAAAAGGAGAGAGAGAAAGACTTGGGTCTACGCTTTCTTAGAATGATTTTAGAGAGAGACTCTATTGAGTATCTTCACATATATCCTTGTAATTCAAAGACACATCTTTAGAGGATTGGGAGATGTTTTCCTCCTCTTTGCATGTACTTTTTCCATTATTCATGAGGAGCTAAATCTTTGTTGTGTTGGAGCATGATGTAGTAGATTCAAACTCTTTTGTATTCGGTGAAACTTTTCATTTATGCATGTTTTCTTTGATTTAAAATGGTTAATTGATTTATGTTTGTTGTTGGATGAATTGATCACTTATCATGTTTAATTGGCTTAAGATTGAGTGGAAGCTAATCTTAAGTTATGATCCAATCAGTTTTCTTGTATGCTTCTGATGCTAGAAATAGACCAGGGGTGTGCAGTTGGAATATAATCTTAATTGTAATTCAAGTGATCTTTATGTATGGGGTTCATTATCTTCAATTTAAAATTAAAATAAAATTATAAATTATTTAATTTCTTAAATTATTCTTCAATTGTGCTCATGATCTTCATGTTCTTTAAGTTCCCTCCTTCATGGAACATTATAAGATTCAAGGAGACGTGTTTTGATCTTTGATATTGTCATAAATTCTTTGAATTACAAATGTTCTTTCACAAGTTCTTCTCATACATGTTCAGAAGATAGTCCTCTATCATACCTTCCTTGAAGAGGATTTGTCCATAAGATCGTACCACTTCAAGATTATTTATCATTCTCCCCTGTTTGGATAGAATTTGACCTAAATTCTAGAAGATCTTACGCACAAAAAAAAAGTAATAAATCAAAGACAAAAATCTAAAATAATCAAAAATAGAAATTATACTAAAGTGATGTTGGATCCTAGAAGAGACGAATCTCCTATTATCAAAGGTTTAGAGGTCTGCCTCTAGGGTTAAATACCCAACTACAAAAATCATCAAACAATTTGTTATAATAAGAGGAATCATAAAACTTCAAGGAATTTTTAAAAGACATCAAACAATAAAATTAAAATTTAATAGGACTACTAAAAAGAGTTAAATAAGACAATGCGGAGACTCTAAAAAAAGACTAAATATAATTCGATAGATTAACAATTATAAGCAATAGTGCAACATAATAATTGGGTTGAACTCTATGATTTTTTTTATTACTCTTGGAACCTTACTTTCTCTTTTTTATTTATTTTTTTTAATATATATTTGTTTCTCTTTTACTAAAATCAACTATTCTTTTTTTTTTTAGTTCCACACACATAAAGAAAATTAAATAATTTGTCTTTCAAACACCAAAAGTCATGCAAGATCAAGGTAAATAATTAATTAGGACTACAATTAACAGAAAAACACAAAAGACATAATTTCCACGAATCCAATGTAAAAATGCACAATTTAAATGAAGAACACAAAAAATAAAAAATCAACGAAATTGGTTAAAATATTAGGGGTTTTACTCCTTATAAATTTCTAAGAACAACGAACTAAACAAAATTTCAGAATAAAGCACATAACACAAACATTCAAGAATTTTTAGTTTTTTTTTTAATATGACAAAAAGAGAAGATAAAAGAGTGTTACCAATGTGAAACAATGATGTTTTGAAGAGTTTTGACGATGATGCACTTGAAGCCTTGAAGAATTATTTACATACATTGTTAAAGCATTTTTATAGAAAACCTTGTATTAGGCTTTTGTTCTCACTTGTACATCATAAGAAGCCTTTTAAATTGCTTTTTAGTATAGATATGTTGTGGCAATAATCAATTATGTCATGTATGAAACGAGAAAACACATCAAATCGAAAATAATCGATTATCTCTCAGGATAATCGATTATCACCAATAGTTATAATTGACAAGAGTTCGGCAATAATCGATTATCACTAATGATAATCGATTATCACTATTTTGAAAACCTTATAACGGACAAAAATAATTGATTATCACTTTTGGTAATCGATTACTAGCAGTTGGGAGTTGCCTTTTCAATTTTTTACCCTGCTCGAACCTTGGGCTATAATAGAGGTCTTCACAATTCTTAGAG